ACCATCAATAGCAATACCAACACCAACACCATCAATACCACTAACAGCCACCACCACTGCCACTATCACCATAACACCATCACCACCAACATCAACACCATTACCCACCAACAACACCATTACCCACCACCACCATCCTCACTGATGCAATACTAAACCATTACCACCAATGCCAACACCATTACCACCATCACCATCCCTGCCACCACCACCACCACCACCACCATCATGACCACGTCACTGCCAAAACCATCACGACCATAATCACCATCACCAGCAACATCACCACCACCAGCAGCACTATCAATATCACCACCACCACCACCAGCACCATCACCACTATCACCATCACCACCACAACACCAACACTGTTACCACCACAAACACCATCCCTACCTCCACCATCACCACCATTACCATCACAACCACTACCATCATCACCATCAACAACATCATTACTACTACCACCATCACCAATAATAAAACCATTATTACTACTACTACCAACAACACTAACACCACCACCACTTCCACCTCCATCACTACCCATCATCATGTGTACACACACATACATGCACACATATATTTTATGAGTTCAATAGTGAATGAAGAAATTTGCAGGAAAAAAAGTTTGCTGACCTGTAGTGGTGTCGAGAATGTTTATTATTTTACACATTGCTGTCTTAACAGAGGCACAACTTCCCTCTTTCCTTGGTAAGGAGCAGATCCTATAAATAAAAATAGAGAATTGGCTCTCAAACTTCATCCTGTAAGAGAATCACCCAGAGGGCTTGTTAAAACATAGATTCCGGCTGGGCACGGTGGCTCAAGCCTGTAATCCCAGCACTTTGGGAGGCTGAGGCGGGTGGATCACGAGGTCAAGAGATCGAGACCATCCTGGTCAACATGGTAAAACCCCGTCTCTACTAAAAATACAAAAATTAGCTGGGCATGGTGGCACATGCCTGTAATCCCAGCTACTCAGGAGGCTGAGGCAGGAGAATTGCCTGAACCCAGGAGGCGGAGGTTGCAGTGAGCCGAGATCCCGCCATTGCACTCCAGCCTGGGTAACAAGAGCGAAACTCCGTCTCAAATAAAATAAAATAAAATAAAATAAAATAAACCATAGATTCCGGGACTGCACCTGGAGTTCTGATTCAGCAGGTCTGGATTTGGGGTTAGTCATTTGCATTTCTTTTTTTTTTTTTTTCTTTTTTTTGAGATGGAGTCTCACTTTGTCATCCAGGCTGGAGTTTAGTGGTGTGATCTCGGCTCACTGCAACCTCTGCCTCCCAGGTTCAAGTGATTCTCCTGCCTCAGCCTTCTGAGCAGCTGGAATTACAGGTACCCACCACCACACCCAGCTAATTTTTGTATTTTTAGTAGGGACAGGATTTCACCAGGTTGGCCAGGCTGGTCTTGAACTCCTGACCTCAGGTGACCCACCCACCTCAGCCTTCCAAAGTGCTGGGATTACAGGCATGAGCCACTGCGCCTGGCTCATTTGCATTTCCAACAGGTTCCCAGGTGATGGCTCTGGGACCACACTTGAGAATCAGTACAGTAGGTGAAGCACACACATTCTCACACACACACACACATACACACACACACACACACACACACACACACACACACACACAAACACTTGCAGAATGAACCAAATCTTTTTTTGTGTAAAAGTTTCTGTCAAAGTAGAGCTTGGAGAATGTGGAGGAATGAAAAATAAAATGAGAGCTAAGGACAGGCTAAAATCATTTAACCAGCTGAGAAAAGTAATGCTGCAATATGACTGACCCAGAGATGTAAATTTTGGAGACATATGGAAAATAGGAAGTTTTGAGGTCAAAGAAATCTTTCTGATGCTAGGACAGAGATGGAACCATTCAGAAGTGGCTGGAATATGGAGGTAGAGCCGTGGAGGAGCTGAGAAGCAGCAGGCAGTGAGGTCCGGGCCCAGCGGTGGGCAGGGAGGATCCCTGCTGAAGGAAGGAGGGGCCGTGAGGGGCGTGAACACAGTGTCCCTGGTGATCTGCTCAGCAGCATTGCAAAATATTGGCATGGCCTGCCCCTGTTTTCAGACAAGACCAAGGCCCCAGGAAAGAGGCCAGCAGCTGAGGGGGACAGCAGAGTGGTGGGAGAAAGCCTGGCCCTTGTCACCCACTAGCACTCACTGAGCCCCTCCATGATGATACAAAATACCAACAGTCAGAGCCTGCCAGCTGCCCAATTGCTCTGCAAGGCTCAAAGCACTCTTCTTACCAACAGGAAACTAAAATGCAGATGGTACATCCAACTCAAGAGAAGCACAGCCGCTCACAGGTGGATGTGTGCTTTGTCTCAGATTTGAGGCAGTTTTAAAGAGGGATGAGTAGACAGACTGGCAAAGGGGCTCTGGAGAGATGGCACAGGGGTGGGTGGGTGAGGCAGCAGTCCCATGCAGACCCAGTGACCTCCCTCGGCCTCTTGGTGCCTGAAATCTGCCTTCTGATATGCTCTTCATCTGAAGACCTTTCCATGTTCCAGACTTTCTGCTTAAAATGCAAATATCCCTGGGAGATGTGGTGCCTTACGCTCGTCAGCCTGGGGAAGTGGCTGGTCCTGACCTCCCGCACAGAGAGGGATGTTTGGGCTCACTCCTCCTGCCTTGTGTGGCCCCTATGTATATTTCGAGCTGATTTTTCAACTCTGCAAACACCAGGGAGGAAACAGCAGCCAGAAAACACAGGTCTCAATATTCAGATGGAGAGAAAACTCATTTGGAGCTAATCCTAATAGTTCTCAATTCAAAAAATATGGGCTTGGTACCAAGAAGCTATTCAAAGATCTCACCATTTCCTGGAACTGACGCTTCCCTGGCCTCCATCACATCCATGACAGTGGTACGGGGTGTGACAGGCATCAGGGTTTTTTAAACTCCCCAGAGGATTCCGATGGGTAGCCAAGCTTGAGAGCCCATAGCCAGGTCTGGTCTTAGAGCAAGAGAACTCCAGGGCTAGCGCCCCGCTCCTCTACCTGCTTGCTCTGTGGTCACAAGTCAGTTCCCTGCAGTCTGAGTGCCCAGCACTGCCCAGCACTGTCACCTGGGAAATGGGAGGGGCAACTTCCTTCCCAGGGTTGATGCATCACAGATAACATGTGTGAAAGTGCCCAAGGCATCGGGTGGGGGGTGGAGGGACCGGCAAAAAGGAGATGTCATTATTTTTGTGATTTTACTGAGGAAGCAACTGAGGCACTGAAGCTGTGTGCAAACCTCAGTCAGACTCCCATCTGGAAAACCAGCCAGTTGGGGCGGAAATGTCTAAGGGTCCTTTGAGCTCTAGCAATGTGGGGTTTGCAGAGGGTTGAAATGCTGGGACATCTTGAATCATCTTGAAGGAAAAGACTCACGCGTGAGGCACATCTCTCCCCCAGTGCCTTAGGAAACAACCTGAATCCATGCACAATGAAACAAAACGAAACAGCACCCCAGCTACTGAATTCTTCTCCGCCTCTCATTTCCACAGCCTCCAGTTGCAACCTCTTGACCTTCTTGGTCACCAGCCATTTCAGGTCCTGGGTGAATGGACATGGCCTAGGAGTGCCCAGCCAGGGCACGGTCCCTTGAACAGTGCTGTAGGCAGACCCAGGCCTCGGGGCTCTTGGGCCCCAGGAAGAGTGACGAGAAGCAACTGGACAAGATTTCTCAGTCGGGCACTACCGGCATGTGTAGCAGCGAATTCTTCCGTGGGGGCCCGTGATGTGCGTCGCAGAATGCGTAGCAGCACGCTGGCCTCTACCCACAAGGCCAGTAGCACCCTCTTAGTGGGGAAATGGCTCTAGGCAGTACCAGGGTCCCCTGGGGAAAGAGAGGCAAAACTGCACCCCCAGAGCCCCTACCCCTAGCCTCTCATTGAGAACTGCCGATCTGGAGGCACCCTAGTTGTCCGGAGGCGGAGGGAGAAATGGGGCTCCTTGGGGTCAATATTGATTTGTTTTGTGTTCCTTGTATTTAAATCGACACAAGAAAAGAGCCATTCTACAAAGGGCAGAGTTGTTTCAACTGCAAATGGCCTCTGCGGGGACTGGAGGAAAGGATGGGATTTTCTTCTTAGAGGTACTCTTTTTTTTTTTTTTTGAGACAGATTCTCTGCCCAGGCTGGAGTGCAATGGTATGATCTCAGCTCAGCAACCACTGCCTCCTGGGTTCAAACGATTCTCCCGCCTCAGCCTCCCAAGTAGCTGGGATTATAGGTGCCCGCCACCACGCCCAGATCATTTTTGTATTTTCAATAGAGACGGGGGTTTCACCACGTTGGCCATGGCTGGTGTTGAACTCCTGACCTTGTGATCCACCTGCCTCGGCCTCCCAAAGTGTAATCCCACGCTGGGATTACACACATGAGTCACCGCTCCCGGCCGAGGTACTCTTCAAAACGACACCCCAAAGCCTGGGAGCTGCAGCCAGGGATGAGACCTCACCAACCAAGATGAGGTGGGTGACAGGGTTTATGGGCCCCCAGGAGGCCAGGCCTCGGTGGGCTGGGTTTGCCAGCTCTGCTCCGCGCACACTCATCCTTCCAGCCAGCTCCCACCACTGCTGGGTGCCTCTTCACTGGGTCACGGAGACGTTCTCACTGCCTTGGTCCGTGGAAAAGCAGGTTGCAGGGGTGGATGGGAGTGATCCCTATTTTGGAAAAATAACATGTATCACCTTACACACTCACACGCGGAGGGGAAAATGTGGCAGCAGACAGCAAAAGTTTCCTATAGTTATTGGTGGAAGCTAGGATTTCAGGTGCCTTTTTTTTTTCTATGTTTTCTCATTTTTTGACCTTGAACATGTAGTTACTTATAGCAAGAAAAAAAAAGTCACTGGAGAAAGTAAAGAAAGTAGGCAGGAAATGGCACCTTAAAACCCAAACACCTCAGAGGCTCTAGATCTCAGAGGCTCTAGGAAAAGCCGACACGTGGTTTGGGCTTTGGCAGCCACGGTGCAGCGGGCGGGCGGGCGGGGAGGGCTGAGCGGTTCGGGGTCGGGAGCGGGACACACGTGAGTAAGTGAGGGACTCCGGGAGGGGCGGCTGCGGGCGCGAGGCCTGGGCGGCAGGGGCGACCCCAGGAGGGGAGTGGCGGCCACGCCCGGGGACCGAGGCTGCAGCCGGGAGGAGGCTCGGCCTCTGCGCCGGGGGCGTGCGGGGAGATGGCGGGTGGGCGCGGCCTCTGAGGACAGTCGGGGAGATGTCGCCTGGGCGTTTCCGGGAGCCTCCCGTGGCCCCGGTTCCAGGGGACCAGACAGAAAACGAAAGAGCAAAAGGCAGCCACGGCCTCCGGCGAGGGGGTATCCCCGCAGTCGGGGTCCCGGGCGGGGTGAGGCCGCGGTGGGGACGCGCCGCCGGGCCTGGCTGTCAGGTCGCCCGCGCCCCGCTCCGCCCGCCCCGCCCCGGCCCGCGCCTCGGCCGCCCTCTGCTGGGCCAACCGAGCACCGCGGCCGAGCGGCGGCCCGGGAGCGCCCAGCGCGGGGAAGCGGCGGCGGCGGCGGAGGCGCGGCCTGGAGGGCCTGGGCCTCAGGGGCGTCCGGGGAGCGGGCGGGGGACATCTGTCAGCGTGAGCCAAGCGGGGCGCCGAGCGCACGGGGAGGGCTGAGGAGCCGGGAGGATGGGAGGGACAGCGGGTGAACGGGCAGGGCCGTCCCGAGCCCGGTGCGACGCGGCTGCGGACAGGCGGCTTCCGACAGGCGGCTCGGGGGCGGGGCGCGGCGGGGCGCGGAGGGGGCGTGGCGGGGGCGTGGCGGGGCGTGGCGCGGCGGGGGCGGGTCTGGAGGCCTGGGGCTCGTCTGCTCCGCCAAGACTCCGAGGCTTCCAGCGGCAGACGCGGTCCTGGAGGCGGGAAGCCCGGAGTCCAGGTCCCCGGAGGCTTGGGGAGAATCTGTTCCGGGCCTTTCTCTTGGCCTCTGGGGCTGCAGGGTCCTCGGTGTTCAGGGCTTGTCTCCCGTCACTCCAGTGTCTGCCTCTGTGGCCACACGGCCCTGTGTCCCTGTGTCTGTCTCTCCTCCTCTTACAAGGACAACGGTGGTCTTGGAGTAGAGCCCACTCTCATCAAATACGGCTTCATTTTGGTCGGGCGCGGTGGCTCACGCCTGCAATCCCAACACTTTGAGAGGCCGAGGCGGGTGGATCACCTGAGGTCAGGAGTTCCAGACCAGCCTGGCCAACATGGTGAAACCCCATCTCTACTAAAAATACAAAAATTACAGGGGGTCATGGCGCGCGCCTGTAATCCCAGCTACTCAGGAGGCTGAGGCACAGAATCGCTTGAACCCGGGAGGCAGAGATTTCAGTGAGCTGAGACCGTGCCATTGCACTCCAGCCTCGGTGACAGACTGAGACTCGGTCTCAAAAAGAAAGAAAACACACACACACACACACACACACACACACACACACACATATGCCGGGTGCAGTGGCTCACGCCTGTAATCCCAACAGCACTTTGGGAGGCCGAAGCAGGTGGATCACCTGAGGTCAGGAGTTCGAGACCAGCCTGGTCAACATGATGAAACCTTGTCTCTACGAAAAATACAAAAAATTAGCGAGGCTTGGTGGCCGGTGCCTGTAATAATCCCAGCTACTCAGGAGGCTGAGACAGGAAAATTGCTTGAACCCAGGAGGCGGAGGTGGCAGTGAGCTGAGATCACACCACTGTACTCCATCCTGGGTGACAAGAACGAAACTCCATACCCCAGCCACCCGCCTCACAAAATATATATGGAAAGGCCCAATTTTCAAAGAAGTCTTCAACACTGAAAGCCTCAACACCAGGAGTTTGGACTTTAACATACCGTTTGTGGGGACACAGTTCCGGGTGTTCCAGGTAGGCGTGCAAAGTCCACAAGGCACCACTCCCAAGGCAGAGAGAACCCTGAAAGCTGCCATGACCTCACCTCACTGGAGTGGAGGATTCTGAGCACTTGTACTCCCCAGGGAGGGACAGACCTGCGGACGGCTTGGGGTTTGAGATCAACCCGTGTATTGTAGGCAACGATTATTTTATTCTCAAAAAACAACCATCCCACAAATACCCCTCCTTCACTTTCTTTAGTTAGAAGAGTGAGCCAAGTTCACTGAGAGAAAATGTAGAAAGTAGATGATAAAGGTTTAAAATACCAGTGCCCCATGATGGCGGCACGTAAAAGGTGCATCTGTCTACGTAAGTGGCGTGGATGTCACGGTCCACAGTGGGATGACGCCACATGCCAGCCTTTCTGGAACTATGACTTCTGCCATCACTTTTTAGGTTTCATTTCATAGACTCATCAAGAGGGCTGCTCTCAAAATCTGGCCTGCAGTTAGGACAAAGTGCCTCTGTAAGTGGCAGGTGATCTGCTTGTGTGACTCAGAAGACATGGAGAGTCTGGGCCTCCTTTGAGGAGGGGAGCTTGGAGAGGATGTCCCTTGGCCAGAGGCTCCATGCTCTGGCAGAACTAGGGGATGGGACCTTCTGAGGAGACACGGCCGCGGTAAATAAGCAGGATCGCTGTTGGAAGAGCAGGGCCTAAGTGTCCAGAGGGGACCAGGGTGGGGAAGAGACCCCCGGGTCTCACAGCCCAGGAGCAGGACCAGACTGGCTGTGAAAGAGTTGAGAAAGGGGTGCAGGGGCTGCGCGGGAGAGGGGTGTGTGTGTGTGTGTGTGTGTGTGTGTGTGGTGTCTGTCTGTTGACTGCTTCTTTTGAACAATGTAGCATTCTCTATTACAACCGATACATACCAATAGCCTTAAATGACAAAGTATCTAAACTCATAGAATAAGATTTCAAAAAATTAAGGACTGAAACAAAGGTATCCACTGGCCTCTCTCTCATGGTGTGTTCTCCCCCTCCTGAGTAATCCCAGCACTTTGGGAAGCCAAGGCAGGTGTATAACCTGAAGTCAGGAGTTCAAGACCAGCCTGGGCAACCTGGTGAAACCCCATCTCTACTAAAAATACAAAAATTAGCTGGGCATGATGACTGAGGCAGGAGGATCGCTTGAACCTGGGAGGCAGAGGTTGCAGTAAGCCAAGATCATGCCACTGCACTCCAGCCTAGGCAACAAAGCGAGATCCCATCTCAAAGAGAGAGAGAGAGAGAGAGAGAGAGAGAGAGAGAGAGAGAGAGAGAGAGAGAAAAGAAATTTCCTTTGTCCTAACCTGGGAAGCTCAGGGGTCTCTGCTCAGGTAGAACTGAACTCTCTAGAGAAAACTCACAGCAGAGGAGACTTCGTTTCTCTCTCCTGCATTCCAGCCAGCAGGGATGCCCCCCTTTCCTCTGGTCCCACTTGTGGCAGACAGGAATGACATGGAATCTCCATAGGAGCACATACATTCCCCCACTGCTTCCTCCTCCACAAGTGACTCCACATTTCCTGGCCTCCCACTCCAGCTACTCCCAGCTAGCTAAGCATAATCCCCAAATTTTTAACAATGCTTGTTTAGGATGAAAGCGGCATGTCTCAAACAGCCACTACTTGAGATAAGGGTTTACAAACGACTTGCCGTTGAAAATTTTCGTTTCAGAGCTCAGGGTTACAGTAACCCGGGATCTTTTACAGAAGTAGAAACTGAAAACTGAGTTGGTGCACAAGATGTTTTGTGTTGAATTTGACAAATGCCCAGGCAGGATTTCAGATACCTCCTGAAATAAGAAAGCTACCAGGGGAAGATTTCAGCAGCGTTTATTTTTATTTACAGTTTATACCCTGTCAGCTTCTAAAAAGGATTGGAGGCAGCTTCCAATAAAAGACACATGCACAATAAGATTGCTAAAATGGGAACCGAAAATTGAAAACCCATGCTGAAGAAGGAGGGAGCCAAGAAGGTAAGACGATGATGATGCAGGACTGGATTCAGTTCCGAGCTTTCTGGTGGCAAAAGCAAAGACAGAAATGTGAAGGCTGCCATGTGCTCCAGAATCTCAATAAAGAAAATAAAATCGTAACCCGTGTATTAATCTCCAAGGGATAGCAGGGTGTCTCCAGTATCGTGTTCATTTGGTGACTCCTACCAGGGCCTTTGAGTGAGGTGACAGAGAGGGTCCAGCTGTCCTGCCTGTGGCCAGCTTGAGGCTTTAGAGTGTGACAGTGGCTGCACCAGACCCCAGACAAGGGGTCCGGCCCAGCCCCGCCTGTGGAGCGCTTGCTCCCGCAGCTGCCCCGCCCTGGGGTGGAGAATCCACAAGGCTAGGACCTGTCATTTCCTCCTCAGTCAGGGCCTAGACCCCTGAGGCTTGGCCTTTTTGCAGGTCCATCTTCTCCAGTGGCCTGCAGTGTTCATGCCTCTGGACCTGGGGAGGGCCGGGGCGGCCAGTGGGGTGCAGGGGAATTGGGAATTTGGACCGCAGGCTGGGTGGTCCACAAGCTTGTTACTATAATCAGTTATTTCTCATTCACTGCATAATTCTGCCATTTACATTTATAATGCTACTTGAGAGTTTGTGAAAAAGCAGCACCACCCTGAAAACACATAGTCTTCCTGTAGGCTAGGTAAACTACAGCAGATTAACGTTTCCCCCCACCCCACCTTTTTTTTTTTTTTTTTTTTTTTTTTTTTTTTTTTTTTTGAGACAGTCTTGCTCTTGCCGCCCAGGCTGGAGTGCAGTGGTGCAATCTTGGTTCACTGTAACCTCCGCCTCCCAGGTTCAAGTGATTCTCCTGCCTCAGCCTGCCGAGTAGCTGGGACTACAGGCGCCTGCCACGAAGCCTGGCTAATTTTTGTATTTTTTGTAGAGATGAGGTTTCAGCATGTTGGCCAAGCTGGTCTTGAACTCCTAACCTCAGGTGATCCACCCACCTCAGCCTCCCAGAGTGCTGGGAATGCAGGTGTGAGCCACCCTGACTGGTCCATTTTTCTCTTCTAAATGGGCTTCTAACCTGCACTTGTCCAGGTCCTATGGGTTTAGAGCTCGGCATTTAAAGACCAGATTGGGCTGGTTGCAATATCTCATGTCTGTAATCCTAGCGCTTTGGAAGGCCAAGGCGGAAAGATTGCTTGAGGCCAGGAATTTGAGGCTTCCATGAGCTATGATCACACCACTGCACTTCAGCCTGGACAACGGAGTGGGAGGGCAGGGAGAGAGAGAGAGAGGGAGGGAAAGAGAGAGGGAGGGAGGGAGAAGAAAGGAGGAAGAAAGAAAAGAAAGAAGAAAAAGAAAGCTCAGAAAACGTTATTAACTTTATACTCTTGTTGCTATAGGCAAGGCCCAAACCTCCAGTCAAGGCCTTTTATGCTTTTATGACCTGGCCTTAACCTACCTTTCTTTTTCTTTCTTTATCTTTGACAGAGTTTCGCTCTGTCACCCAGGCTTCTCTCTCCCGGGTTCAAGTGATTCTCTTGCCTCAGTCTCCTGAGTAGCTGGGACTACAGGCACATGCCACCACGCCTGGCTAATGTTTCTGTACTTTTAGCAGAGACAGGGTTTTTTGATGTTGGCCAGGCTGGCCTCAAACTCCAGCCCGCAGGGGATTTGTCTGCTTTGACCTCCCAAAGTTCTGGGATTATAGGCGTGAGCCACAGTGCCCAGCTTTTAACCTACATTTCTACCTGCCTCCCTTCCTCCATCCCGCCTGTCCTACTACTGTCGCTACCTGGTCTCAGGCTCATTGTGCCACCAACTCTTGCTCTTTGTGCCAGCTTCTCCTGCTCCTCTGACCTTCTCTTGCTCCCCTTGGCTTCACCCACTCCTCTGAGCTTCTCCCGCTCCTCTGAGCTTCTCCCTCTCCTCTGGGCTTTTCCTGCTCCTCTGGGCTTCTCCCGCTCCTCTGGGCTTCACCCGCTCCTCTGAGCTTCTCCCACTCCTCTGAGCTTCTCCTGTTCCTCTGGGCTTCTCCCATTCCTCTGAGCTTCTCCTGCTCCCTTTGGCTTCTCCTGCTCCTCTCTGCCTCATACCATCTCAGCCCATCTCCCAAGGCTCCTTCCTCTCTGGCCTCTTCCAGGTCATTCTCTCCGACTCTCATCTGCACTGTCCTCTCCCTTTTCAGAGTCATCAGCCACACCCAGATCTTGGGCAGTGCTCAGTGTGACCTTGTCTGCCTCTCCAATTATATCATGACAACCTGTGGCCGCACCCTGGGTGCCCTCCTAGGGGCTCCCCACGTCCTTCCGCATGGCTCCTGAAGGGGTCCAGGGTCTCATGTTGCCATGCCTGTGCTCCTGCCCACCCCTCAGGTGCTCACAAGGGCAGGGCGGCCTGGGGGAAAGCACAGCTCCCGCAGCTGCAGGAGAGTCCAGAGTCCAGAGGTGACAGGAGTGGGAGGCGGCCGTGGAGAGTGACACCCACCGATGCGTTCAGTCCAGTGAATGCAGTCACTTTGGATTTGGGAGAATTGGGGCCAGTATTGCTGCCGCTGTCCACAGAGGCCTCATGACGTGGTCTGTGCTAGCAAGTGAGTGACTAGCAAAGACGCATTCCTGCAACACATCAAGTCGAAAGCGCCATCATCAGAACCACAGCACAGGGCAGCGGTTCTCCAGCAACAGCAGCCTCAGGAAACGTGGGAGAAATGTAGACTCTGCAGCCCCATCCCAGACGAACAAAATCAGAAGGTCTGAGGGTGGGGCCGGGAACCTGTGTCTTAACCAGCTCCCCAGCTGATTCTGATTCAGGCTAAACTTTGAGAGCCATGAATCCAGGCAGGACACTGTGGGTGCGTAAGCCCCTGCCTTTCCCACTGAGTGAACCTACGGTCCCATTCACCCCAACACGGGCGCCAAGCCTTCTCCTGTCTCCCTCAGGAGCCCCGTGGTCTCTGAGAGCTCAGGTGTACTAGGGTAGAGCGGGAACCGTTGTTGATGGTGTCTGGGCCTCCAGCCGGTGCGGCCTCTGAAGCCCAGGTCCGAGGGAGCTCCCACCTGCTGTGTGTCAGGTGCAGGGTGGGCAAGGTCTGCAGGCCCAAGCGTTGGGAGGAACCTTCCCTGATGGTGTAAATAGTGTAAATAGTGTGTTGTGGGGGGTGCATTTGGGGTTTTATCCTGCTAACTAACACCAAATCCAGTGGGCCAGCAATCCCGGCTGGGGGCTTTGCGGAGCGGGGTGCTGTGTGAACCTTCATTTAACCCTCCCCACAATGTGGTTCACAGGATCAGGGGCTTGTTTCAGAGCTGAAGCCAGACCCTGATGGGGCCATTTGTCCAAAGCCATCCTTGTTGTCAGGGGTGTGCCTGTGGATGGAGGGGCCCTGGCTGGAAGTTAAGGTTGTATATTAGGGTTCTTGAGAAACAGAACCAATAGTATCTATCTACACCTATCTAGATAGCCAGATGAGAAGGGATTCGTTAGGAGAATTGGCTCACACATTTGTGGAGGCGGGGAAGTCCCGCCACAGGCTCTCTGCAAGCTGCAGACCCCGGGATGCTGGTGGTGTGGCTCAGTCCCAGTCTGAACCCCTGAGAACCCAGGGGCCACGGGTGTCAGTCCTGCAGAGCAAAGGCTGGAGAGCCTGGAGTTCTGATGTCCAAGGAGGAGAGAGGAAGAGCATCCCAGCTCCAAGAGGGAGAGACATCAACTTGCCCATCTGGGCCCCCAGTTGACTGGATGGGCCTCCAGTTGACTCACACTGAGAGCTCATGTTCCCCACTTATTCCACGCAGACTCACATGCCAGACTCCTCTGGAGACACCCCCACAGACACACCCCAAAACAATGCCTCACCAGCTTTCTCATTTCTGGGTACTGCTTTATCCAGTCAAGCAGATGCCTAGAATGTACCATTGTGGTTGGGAGGATGGAGGAGGCCTGAGGGCTGCGGCCAGGTGGCAGAGGAGCTGGAGTGAACCCACCAGTGGCCCTGGGGACCCTTTCAGGGTGCACTGCCCGTTACACAGGTGCTGCGCAATTTTCAAGAGTGTTCCAAATGTTTATAATGGTAGGTATGTCATAAAGACGTGTTAGCTGCAGAGACAATGTTTCTGGCGTAGCGCAGTGCTGAATAGACTGTTAATAATGGACAGGAAATAGATGAGGCTTGGGAGGTGACCACTCCAGGTACAGGAAGGATGCTCCTAGCTGAGCAAAGGGCATTGGCTGGAACTCACAGGCCTTCCCTGGGGCCCAGAGCATGGGGCTCTGGAGAGTGGGCTGCCTGCTGGGCAAAAATCAACAACTTACCTGAAGGGCAAAATGTAGCTGGCAGGTTGTCTGCACAGCAGAAGAATAGGTGAAACATTGAATTGGACACACATGGCCAAGTCACTGGTCAACATCTTTGTTCTGAAAGAGGAAGGAGAAAAGGCTGGGGCCAACTGACCTGCTAGGAAGCTATTCGTCTGCCTCATCCTCTCCTCTCCGGAGAGCTGGGGCTGGTCCTGGTATAGGACCCAGCTAAGGGATCGCTGCAGGATATGTGAAGAAAGTTCTGGAAGTGAGGGTGCAGGGCACCCAGGTAAATATGAGAAGTCATAAAAAACCCAAGGGCTGTGAGCCCCTGCTTGGCCATTCTTCCCGCTAAGAGGCTGGGGAGATGCCATAGTTTGTAGCAAGTGGACCATGAACGCTCCTTTTCTGATGAATGAAATCAAATTCCCCTCTTGCTCTTCCAGGCATTCTGTGCGGCAGGAGGAGGAACTGTCAGGTAAGAAGATAGAGAAAATCTAGGTGAGTCTGAAGACTGAGACCCAGAGGGAGGTGTGATCACCTTTTCTGGCAACCAAGGATCAAATAAGGAGAAAGGGTGGGGGGAAGCTTCAGGTCGGGGAAGCCAGCACCCCAGCAATGCTGCTCCCTGATTGGAGGGAACTTGGATTTAGCAGCATGCACAGGAAGCTACCAAATGGCTTTAGAAAGGTTTCCTGAGAAGCCGGCACAGTGGTTCACACCCGTAACCCCACACTTTGGGAGGCTGAGATGGGTAGACAACCCGAGGTCAGGAGTCCGAAACCAGCCTGACCAATATGGTGAAACCCCATCTCTACTAAAAATACAAAAATTAGCCGGGCATGGTGGCATACACCTGTAGCCCCAGCTACTCCAGAGGCTGAGACAGGAGAGTTGCTTGAACCCAGGAGGCAGAGGTTGCAGTGAGCCGAGATCACACCACTGAGCTCCAGCCTGGGCAACAGAGCAAGACTCCGTCTAAAAAGCAAAACAAAACAAAACAAAACAAAACAAAACAAAACAAAACAAACAAAGGAAGGTTTCCTGGGGCAGCACTCAGAGCTACATGCTTCCTGAGTACTGTCACTTAGCTCCTTGTCCTTACTGGGGATGCCACTGTCTTTGAGAAGGCTTCTGCCTCCCTTTGGCCTGCCCGTCACTGGCCAACGCTGGATATCACCACTGAACAGCATGGCAGGGGGTTCTCAGCCTCAGGCCTCGAGGTGGCATAGCTCTTTGGCCACAGGGCAGTTACTATGAGCAGTGATTTAGAAGTTTGGAACCACAGAGACCAAAGTCACTGCATCCAGTCAGATTGGCCCAGGGCCCATAAGATTCTCAGCCTGTCATGTATTTGAGAGAGCTGTTTTTAATTTTTGTACCTAAAGCCCAGGCACGGAGTAGGGCATCAAACATTGATACTGGAAGGGATATTAACCTGGCAGCTCGAACTTTTCTAATAACAGCCGCTGCCTCCTGGCAGACACAGCCCAGGAAAACCAGCTGCCCTGGGGTTTTTCAGGCAAGGTAATTAATGTGTGATGGCACTCCACTCAAAATGATTTAGCGACTAGTGAAGAAGTAAGATATAATACTGAAGCTTATATCAAAGTCACAAATTGGGTAGATTAGGTGGAATTATTGGACTTTCTAGGGCATGTTAGGTTCACTGGGAGGCGGATGGTGGGCTGGTGTCTGTCTAGTTTCTTCAGTGAATGTGACCAGCTGACCCTGGCCCAAGATATTTACGTGTACCCTGCCGAATCCTAGGAACTCTCTGTAAAACTTTGACTTAGGTTCTCTGGCTACAAAATAAAACTCTCCACTGCGGGGGACGCGGAAAGAGCCTGACTTCCAGGTGGTGTTACTGATACTACACATAGGAAGACAATGAGGTTTCTGAAATGAAGAGAGAAGTGCAGTGATTTTTTTTTTTCGGTCCTTTGCTTTTAGGGAGAATGCCACCCCCAACTCCTGGCCCCCCTCGTGCCTCCAGTGCCCGAGCAGGATGCTGGCCTGTCCTGTGCAGCAGACCGCCACCTTCTCCTCGGTTGGATGCAGGGCACTGAGTATTATCTGTCTGTATGGATCGTCCTGCAGATCTGTGTATTTCCTTCTTCTGCTCAGTAGGTCAGAGCTGGCGAGTGCAACGGGATCTTACCAGATGCCTTTCATCTTTAAACTACCAAGGGGCTGGGAGTTAGAAACCCCTGACCTTGCAGCCTATGGCTGTAAAAGCCCAGGACACCCCCCAACCCCACCCCCTGCCAAAACTGCTTTTTCATTTTCATTTTGATGTGATTTTCATTTTCTTGAGTTTTGTGGTGAAGGCAAATGTGGTCAGCATAGACGAGAAGGCAAATGCCAGTCTCCCAGGACCTGCCTGGGTCCTGTTCCCAGGGAGGAGCTCCTCCTTCCCCTCTCTTCCCTCCTTCCCTTTCTGTTCTTCCTTCCTGAGTCTGCTAAGGGCTATGATGGGCTTAGTCCTGAACCCAAAGAAACAGCCCCAGGTGAATGCCCTCTTCCGATCAGAGCTGTGGATGTTTCTCTAGGGCCTCTGATCCTGCATTTTCTAACCCTGCCCTTCACTCCCGGTTCCTTCAGTAACATTTAGAATATTTGAGAAATGAAAGCTAACCATGCTCATTGAACATGGATTCCACCCCAATTCAGAGCGCTTACATTTTCACAGTTCCCAGGGAAGATCTCTGTCTGTGGGAGACACTTGGAAAGACAGGAGAATCTGGATGCGGCTGGTCTGCTGCAGAGCCACACCCTAGCAGGCAGAAGCGCGGTTTTACATCCTACTCCACATAAACCTGAACCCGGCCCTCCTGCACACATTCTCCATTGCAGAGCCAAGCCTCCCTGTCACTCACTGTATCTCGTGCCACATCCAAGCATCTCTGTGACACAGGGAGTTGACAGACTTGGTCAGGTGCTGATTCCACACCATTTGTCATGAGTCTTTGAAAAGAACCAGAGCTGGCCCACGAGCAAGCTGAGCGCAGAGGTTTCCTCAGTCCGTCTTCTCTCCTGACAAGAGGTCTTGAGTTTTCATGAGATTTACTCACTGGATCTTAGCTGGGTAACCTCTTTCCTGACGTTACACACGAAGGATCAGAGTAGCTGTGGTGGCCGTGGCCTGATGGGAGATGGAAAGACAGGGAGACGGCGGCTGCAGGGATGTCCACCCCCTGGTAACACTCCCCAAAGGCTCCGAATGGAGAGGTCTGCCATGGAGGCTCTGCTCCAGAGTGGGAAACATGGTGGGGGAGTTGGCCCCTCCGACAGGGTCAGTGGGAGAAGCCCGCAGCAATAAAATCAACACATTACCATCACCCAGCCGGGCAGAGCAAAGGGGCAAACCGCAGTTCGGCACAACTGTACAGACCGCCAAATTCAAGCTTTTAGAAACTCAGTTTTGCCAACTTGTCCTCTGAAGGCAGGGCGTGCATGCACAAGGGCTGGTAATGTAGACATCATCTGGAGGTGTCCTGAGGAGGGTCACCTATTAGGCTGCAAACCTGGAAGGCCATTCTAAGCCTGGGGTGTCAGAAGCAGCATGAAGGTGCATTTTTTTGTGTTTTCAGATAAGCAGGTAATTGGTGTTATGAACATGCCAAGCTTTCTCAGTTTGCTTGACTTAGCTTCTTAGGAATCCATTAAGAATGACCTTTACTCTTATGTCTTTAAGTACATTTAATACACTCACCTGCCGATTTTTTACTTTTTTTTAAGTAATCGTGCCTCATCAAACAGTAATGAAGGAGGAAGGCCTCGAGCCGGCTTATGTAGGAAATATAAATCAAGGTCCTAAATCACTAATAATTGGGTAGGAAAGTTGAAACTATATGTGCTTCCGGGTAACTGTGATTCTAATTTTCTCCAAAACTGAGTTATCTGCCATCAGACAAAATTTGCTAATGGCCTCACTCATTATTACAGATTCATGTCACTGCTTGCGAGAGATGCTTGCTTTCCTCTTCTACGCTCACAAAATCGCAGCCTTGGGCGATTAATCCTGATAACACCAAGAGAGACCCAAATACTTACTGTTTCATTTAATGACTCTTGGCAGAAAGGAAAAACACTTCACTTGAACACGGTATTTTAAAAATATGTATTTTACTAACTTTCATGGGAAATTTAACTATTTGATGAAATGCCTTTGTATATTACTTGGCTGGTTTTCATTTGTACTTAACAATTTGTCTTAAAGATGATACATGAAAATGAGATGAAAATATACAATGTTCCCCATAAACCAAACCTAGGAGAGATGAAACGTTGCCCCAAGTGAAATAGCTGAATTCAATGGATTTTAATTACTTTTTGTCCCCACGGGCTCCCCCGCCCCCACCTTAATTTCTTCTATTTTCCCGTTAGGTTGCAATCATTAATTTCAAGTTTGCTCCCACACTATCCAGGAAACTAAACAAAACGTGTGACAGCCGAGATGATTCAGTGCCGCCTTTTGACTAAGCAAGCAAGTGTCCTTTTCGACGCCAGCCTATGCCCATACCCTGGTGGGAGGGTGGTAGTGGGGATGGCCCACGGCCGTCTCAGCAGCCGCCCGCTTCCACGCCCTAATTACAGTCCTCCCAGTGATGGGCTGCCCGCGGTCTTGGGAGGCAGCTCCCGTCCCCTACTTTATACTCTCAGGTTGTCCGGAAACCACACTCTCTTGACTCTGAACATAACAGCAGCCCATGGATTCCTTTTCACAGGGCAGCAGTAACTTACCAGGATACATGTTTTCCCTTGAATGAATCCCGAAGTCTCAGAAGCCAATCCTTCCTGCCTGCTTTCTCCAATAGCTCTTTTGGGTACTGAGACTCTAAGTGTAAAGCTTAACACTCACCCAGTGGAAGCAACAGCCTTACCGAAAGCCTCCTTAATGATGGCTTAGGCAGGAAATGGAAATTGCTCGCGTTATCCATCCTTTAAAGCATTTCTAGTGTTCAGCCTCCATGAAATGGATTGCTTATAGGGAGATAATGTCTGTTCTATTCCTTTTTAAGTCTGTGAAAAATGTCATTCTGGTTAATAGGGTGATTAAAACTCTTTATGCTCCAGGAGATAAATGTGATTATGTTTGTCATACTCTACCCAGGATAAAGACAGCAAAGAAGGCAAACTTGAAATTCCATCACATTTCCTCTCTTCCATATCCAGGGACATTCAGAGCTCAATACACAGATGGTACGTCTCATAAAGAATAACATTATCTGTTAAACATTTTTCCTTTCCATTAACCAATTTAACAATATGCCTCTGGTACAAAAGGAATAGACAAATGACAAAATCGTCTGATACTCAAGTTCTGACTGTGGCGAACACCACTTGAGTCATACTGCTTTTCTCTTTTAATTTTCATCTGTGTGTGACTTCACTTTTGTTTTTAAAATGCAATTGGAGCTGAGGCTTGGTCCCTCTTCCAGGGAACTGGACTCTGCCAGCCTCCCCTCTGCAGGGGATTCATCGTTATTCTTATGGGAGTCCCCCTGCCATGGGTCAAGGACAGCAGAGGTGATGTATGAGGGTTTTGTAGACACGAGGCATGCCACTCTAGTAAGTATCCGGACACTCCTTCAGCAGCACACGTCTAGGTGTCCTCTGCGCCAGCCCTGTGGGAAAGCAGCGCCCCACCATGGCCCCTGGCCCCTTGCTAGGGCCTAGCTGCCGTTAGCCCGATGTGCAGCAGCCTCCCCAGCAGTGCTGACACCAGTTTACAAGGCCCTGAGCTGGGTCCCTACCCTCAGGGAGGCTACAAGGCAGGAATCCATGAAACAGAACCACAGTTAACAATGATTTCTCCTTTAACACTCCAGACAGGCGGGAGAGTCTCCTTTTTCCTACCCAGTGGAGGTCTTTAGAAACCACTGAGCATTCTCCATCTACAGAAAGTAACACCCAGATTGCAGCTGTACCGGTGTTAGGTCGCGCCCATTCTTTTCCTCCCCCACATCAGATGGGTAATTCAGTGCAGCCGTTGTAACCAGGTTGGAGGCCCATCTCATGCATGAGCTTGGAAACCTACAGTCAGGAAGCACCAAAGGATCCGGTGGTGCACATTCTCTTCAGGGGAATCTAGATTCAGACTAACTGTGTGGACCAAAACCTGTTCCTCTTGCTCCTGCCTTTCCTTCCTCTCATTCAAAGGCTACAGATCTCTTCTCAGAGGTTTGGTTAACATGAAAGGCCGGTGAAGAGTCTTTGCTCCCCGCATTCACCAACCAATTTCCCAATCCTTTCCTTTCGGTCTTGGATTTTTAACAGATTACACATGAATCCCAGATGCTGACACCTGCTTCATTAACAATACAGCAATTTTAACAGGGTAACATGGTCTAGAGAAAAGTGTTACATTGTGTACTTGACATTTCATTTAAAAATCTCCCTTAGAATAAAAGGTTTCATGATAACAGAAATTTCAAACGTCCTTTATTAAACCTGATTGCTTGCCTAGGCAAGCAGTAAGAAACTGCACAACCGATACTTAGCTAGAGGTTACTTCTCTGGACAAACTGACATAAAGTATTTCTCTTTCTAAAAATATTTAAAAATGCAATTGCACTAAAAATAATTGCATGTAGGCATTATTCTCTTCTGTTTTCTGTAGGAGATCATGGAAGACAGGAGCGAGCTAGGTGTGCTCACAGAATTTACCCTCACAGCTTCACTAGGGAGGTGGCACCAAAGACTTAATATTGGGACTCAGTACTCAGGTGACTTTCTGGTTAAAAATACTGAAGATAGCTGGCAATTGGGCTTTTTCTCACTTTGACAACTGAGACAAAATTACAAATTGTCAATGTTCAGAGATCCAGACCAACTTCTCAAAAAATATTTTTTTTACCTCTGATATCATCATTTTAGCCCAACTGTGCCTTTTGGAGTGATCATAACTCATTACTGGCTTTTTAAGTCTAAGAATTTGCAGGGCCTTCAAGCAAGGGCATCAGGTAACTAACTCACATGCGTGTGCTGGCTGTAAATCACAGACTCAGGACACTCAGGACACGAGAGCCACACCCACCTCCTACTATACAGGACTTACCAAGTGACTGTCACTTTGTAGTCTGGCTAATCGGAGTAAGACTTCCAAATTCTGTTATATACTGACAAGAAAGGCTCTTGAAACTCCTTTAATTAGACACATCGCAGTACTATCGCTATTAGGGAGTCTGTTTCATAAATTTTATCAGACTTTTATTATAAACTTTTTTTAGGTATGAAACTTGGTTCAACTGAAACTTCGTTCAACTGTTACAAACAGAATTATTTCCTCTGGGATCCCCTCTACCTAAGGAAGTTACCCTTTAATTACTATTTGTAAATAGTCTTCTTAACTTTGAGAAAACGTTACCCTCCCCAACACACACACACACACATACTCTCCTGTGATGAGGAGGCCGAACGCTATCCAGCGCGTGGTTCAGTCCGCGAACTGCCATGTTCCTGGGGAGAAATCAGTCCCTTTGCTGTCATGGTGTCTCCAGAGCCACCCCTTTCTGTAACAAGCATTTTGAAATTCATTCATGCTCATCTCATTTGGATTTCAATGTTTCTTCCCACTCAACAGCCGATTCGGAGTTCTTAGGAATTGCTGGAAATATTGATTGCATTTTACTTCGAAATTCTTTCATCTAAAAGAAGAAAACAATCACTTATCAAATGCTAAAAGAAGAAGAAAACAGCTATTAGAGATGGCACTTTTGCTGACTGGCTAGTATTTCACGGCTCACAGGTAAAAGAGCTAGGGAATGTCAGTAAAAGTTAGGGACTATATATATTCTAGGTACCTTGAAAGAAAATGAAATATACTTCCTTTCTTTGAGTATCAGCTTATTATTAAATAACATAAAACTTCACTCTTAGCTGGACATGGTGGCTCACACCTATAGTCCCAGCTACTTGGGAGGCTGAGATGGGTAGATCACTTGAGCCCAGGAGTTCGAGTCCAAGCTGGGCAACACAGCAAGACTCCATCTCTTTAAAAACAACAAACCACTCTTAATCTACAAGGCAACATGTCCTAAACTGTCAACCTTTATAATTCCCTCCCAGGAGAAGAATGTGTATTGTTGGCTTTCATATATAAGATATTGCTGGCTTTGCATATATAAAGATGCAGTTGAGGATGGGGTTTCTATCTGAACAAATAAATATAATTAGGTCAATCAAAGCTGGAATTTTAGAGACAGAGAGAAAGGGCAGAGAGAAGAAACTTAGTAGATTAGTAAAGAATAAATCAAGGAATGGTAGAGAAAGTAGAATGTTCTTAGATGTCAGAGAGTGGTGTTTTTTTTTGTGGCAGGGTCTCAATCTGCTGCCCAGGATGGAGTGCAGTGGCACCATGGCTCACTGTGGCCTCCACCACCCAGGCTCAGGCGGTTGTCCCCTCTCACTGCCCCCAAGTAGCTGGGACTCCAGGCATGTGCTAATTTTTGCATTTTAGGTAGAGATGGAGTCTTGCTATGTTGCCCAGGCTGGTCTCAAACTCCTGAATTCAAGCAATCCTCCCACCCCAGCCTTCCAAAGTGTTGAGATCACAGGCGTGCACCACTGTGCCCAGCCTAAGAGATCTTAACCCGCGGTGTCAACACAGTATTATTACAGTTCGCCTGAAGCACCTGGATCCACCTAAGGTGTACAACCCATAGTGGGAACACTAATTTATGGAAGTTAGGTGAACTGGACACTGGACAGTACTAGTAACACACTCTCTGATTCATCCTGGTTAATCTATACGGTCCTTCTATGAAGATATTTCAGCACCGCCACAGCACTGCATTCCAAAGTTTTCTTATCAGCCAGCTGCCAGTCATATTTTCCTAAGGATAGAGATTTCCTTGATCAGGTTTGTGAAGTACCCTGGACTCATCTGCAAAATGCAAGTCATTTCTTAGAGTGGTTATTCTGAGAGTCAGCTAATATTTCTTTAACGTTGATGCTTATTTATTTCAATTTGAGGCTGAATCGTGACCTTGTTTCCCAGTTAAGGGGTGCATCTTGTTTGGGACTTGTAAATCCTAGGCATTTACTCCTAGCACGGCTGCAAACTGTAGCCCTGCTGTCAGCAGCATGGACTCTGCTCAGATCCTAGCTCCACCACCTGCGAAAGCTGCTTACTCTCTTAAGCCGTGGCTTCCACGTATGTAGAAAAGAGACAGTAATTACCTGCTTAAAGAGTTGTGAGGATTAAGGCGCATACAAAGCGTATAAAGCACAGCATCTAACACACGGAAAGTGCTCCATACACATTGGCTATTATCACTGCTGTATTATCAAAGTAAGCGTGCTGTATTCCAAGAACAAAGCTCGCATGGACATAAACATTATGGAATGTTAAGTACATTACTTTACAGCTATATATCATTTTGGTTTACGTATTCTGTCACTGGAAGATACATAAGGTCTTTCTTACATATTGTATGTTGTCTATATCCGTGCCAACCGTCTCAATGTTCTGGACCCAGACACTAAAGTTGAAGATAGACAGCTCATGGATGTCTCTCTCCCTACTCCGTCTTCCATAAAGAATTCATTGCTTTGTCCAAAACATTAATATCACCCCTACTGAGGAACTTTGCATAGACTTTTATCGTTGATACAGACATCGCTCTGGCCAGGGTTGGCAATGTGCTGCCTGGTTCTTTCTCTTCACTCTTCTGGTTGAACATCTTTTACAACTAAGCCAGATGACACAGTTTTCAAATGGGATGTCAGATGGCCAAGACATCAACAGAATCATTCACCAGTCTCCCTTCCAGTGGTCCCAAATGTGGTCAGCTGCTGAGAAGGGAGAGGCTGGGAAATGCAGGCGAGGCCTGGGGAGGGGAGCAGAGGGTGGTGAGGTCAGAGGAGGAGAGAAAAGGGTGGTAAGGATAGGGGAGGGGAGCAGAGGAAGCCACCGCACCCAGTCTGGACAACAGAGTGAGATTCCATCCTCAAAACAAAACAAAACAAAGACACGAACAGTACTCCCTAGTGCTACGGGCCCAGCATCCTCACCTGTGAGTCCCACTGCCTTGGTGTCCACAGTGCTGTGTTGTATATTCACAGAAAATACCACTGTCTCAGCTAGTAGTGCTCAAATGGAGTGTCATGACAAATGGAAAGTGTATTATAAGTAATTTGTCACAAATATGGACATTCTGTAGATACAATGGCTTTTTTAGATATTAAAACAGATTCAGGATTATGTCTCTAATAATGTTATTCTCATTCACATTTCAATAGCTTCTGGAAGGGCCATATAGCCAGTAAGTCAGGAGTGAGACCAACCACTGATGCCACTTAAGAGTGTCCTTACTGTATACCAGACATATTTCTCATCGAACCCTCCCAGCAACCAAGTGGAGTAAATATCATCCCTCTTTTAAAGATATGGAATGGAAGCTCAGAGAAACTAAACAATGTGTTGTAGGCTGGTAGGAACAGATCTGACCCCACAGCCCATGTGCTTACTCTGCGTACTACTTGAATATGCACATAGGACATTGCTACACATTTACCATGCATGTCTTGGTAGGGGAAAAAACATCTGAAAACATTTGGTCTAATATACAGTGTGCTGAAAAATTACTTAAAAGCTTCAGGTTATGTCCCCAGTTTAATTAATTTCAGAAAATCCTTAACCATCAATTGGAATAAATAGGCAGTTGTTGGAATTACAAGTTCTCAGTTTTGAAATGTTTCTGCCATTGTCTGGCTCATTTAGCTTCTCTCTCTCTCTCTCTTTTTTTTTTTTTTTTTGAGATGGAGTTTCGCTCTTGTTACCCAGGCTGGAGTGCAAGGCACGATCTCGGCTCACCGCAACCTCCGCCTCCTGGGTTCAGGCAATTCTCCTGCCTCAGCCTCCTGAGTAGCTGGGATTACAGGCACACGCCACCATGCCCAGCTAATGTTTTGTATTTTTAGTAGAGACGGGGTTTCACCATGTTGACCAGGATGGTCTCGATCTCTTGACCTCGTGATCCACCCGCCTCGGCCTCCCAAAGTGCTGGGATTACAGGCTTGAGCCACCGCACCTGGTTAGCTTCTCTTTCTTCACTTGTTGGTGCAGGACTGTTACTGCCCTCAATGCTGGGGCCGACAAGGATGAAAGCTCTATAGGATCTACTGACGAAAAAACCTTTGGATAATGTCAATAATTACAGAGTCAATGGTAATCTTCAACAATCTGGGAATTCAGCTTCTTCATAAAATACAACAGAATAAGACTATATAATACTAGTACCAGGAGGTTAAAAAGCATAGCTAGGTTGTAAAATGGAATAATATCTGCCATTTGGGATCACTTATGTGTTAGGCACTGGACAAAGCATTAGGCTATGATTCATTCTTCACAAGTCTATATGGCAGAAATTATTACCACCACTTTACATATGAAAAACCAGAAGTCAGCGAGGTTAACTTACCCATAGAGACATGGCTTATGAGTACAACTGCCTGGCTGATGCCCAGGACCTAGAGAGACAAAGTACCTCTGTGTCTTCTACCCATTTGCCAGCTTTCACTAAAAATTACATAAAAAGCATAGATGTCTCTTTTAATGGTGACCATTTTATTTTGAATAGTGTATATTCATACATAGCCAGTACTCAGCTACTTTTGCATATAGGGGAGTTGTACCTCCCCACCTCCTTGAAGTTCAGTAACCATGTGACTAGTTTTGGCTAATGAAATATGAGCAAAGAATGTGTGTCACTCCCAGGCTGAGCACTTATTCGCAGGGGTTCGGCTCTCTTTCCATAGCAGTCATGGAAATCTGTATTGCTATGGTGGAGCCAAAGATCAAAGTAATCTGAGGTGCTGAGCCAGCATGTGAGGAACAGCTTTTTCCTCGAGAGTTGCTGAAACCCACGGGGGGTTTACACAGTTGAGAAATAAACCTTTGTTATTTTAAGCCACAGATTTGGAGACTGTTTTGACTACAGCATAATCCATCCTACTCTGGCTGGCAAAGATGGTGAAGAGAATTATAAAATAGACTTAAGGCATGCTCTGATGCCCTGTAATAGTACACTATGTTTGGCTGAAACACGAATAAAAACTAAAAGGATGGATCAGAGGGAGCAGGTATTCTGCAGTTGAGCTCTCAAAAGCTCTTAAAACCGCCTAGAATGGAACCACCTCTCTTCCCACTTTCTTTTTTTGAGACAGAGTTTCGCTCTTGTTACCCAGGCTGGAGTGCAATGGCGAGATCTCGGCTCACCGCAACCTCCGCCTCCTGGGTTCAGGCAATTCTCCTGCCTCAGCCTCCTGAGTAGCTGGGATTACAGGCACGGGCCACCATGCCCAGCTAATTTTTTGTATTTTTAGTAGAGACGGGGTTTCACCATGTTGACCAGGATGGTCTCGATCTCTTGACCTCGTGATCCACCCGCCTCGGCCTCCCAAAGTGCTGGGATTACAGGCTTGAGCCACCGCGCCTGGCCTCTCTTCTCACTTTCAAGGAGCTCAGCACATCAGTGAGTCCCATTGCATGACACCACTTCCTGAGAAATCAACATTTCTAGATGTTTTCAATAAAGCAGTATGGGAGCTCTGGTCAGTATAGAAAAGGGGCAGTTTTTTGGAGGATCACTGTCCTGTTTGATAAAATTGAACTAAGCAGGACTGTTCTGGTTTAGAGGGCAAA